GAAAGAGGGGGAGGCCTTCAACAAGATGGATTGATACAGTGGCTGCGATGATGGGCTCGAGTATAGCAGGGATTGTGGGGCTGGTGCGGGATCAGGCAGTGTTTCGTTCTGCTGTGCATGGGGTCGCTATGAGTCGGAAACGACTCAACGGCACTTAACAACAACAACAACACTGAAGGTGGACAGGTTCTGAAGCTACTGCTACTACCATTTCACAGTTGATGTGCAATGCCTTCAAATAGCTGTTTTGTATATGTTGTCTAGACTTTATATTTGTTTACAGTGGGAAGATAAGTCTGATACCAACAACTCTTTCATTCTCAGTACTGGAAATCCGTAGAAATTCTAGAATCCTTGCCATCTATATCCTTTGGCATTTTCCCCAGGATACAATACAAAATATGGGAACAGCATTAAAGAGTTTGAGTAGTTGATTTTTACCTTTCAGTTCTGTAAATTGGGTTTGTTAATACCTTATACTCTTCTTTCCAATTTGAAAAGCTATTATTAACAATCACTAAAGCAGAAAAAGAATGCATGTTTCTGCCTCGGAATTTTTAGAATAGTTATGGGGGGGTGATTATGCAAGCAGACAATCCAAATATTTTTATTTTACACATCAGCATTAAAGCCATCACCTCTATTTTCTAACATTTGTTTATGTAGCTTTTCAGATCTTTCACTTTTGTTTCCCCAAATAGAGTAGAAATTAATTGCAGGCATGGACCATGACTTACACTTCTTTTTATCTCTCATAGGATCTAACATATTCTCTTATGCACAGTAAGTAAGTGTTGACTGCTTATATTGTTATTGTCATTTACTTATACCTATATTGTTATGTGTCTTTATTTTGAGTTAAATATTAAAACTTTTGGTGATACAATATCTGACAAAAAGAAAAAAGAAAGAAAGGACACATACTCAGTTATATTTTCTCTACTTATGGCCACAGCAAGTTCTTGGAGTTGGTGGGTTAGCTTATCCAAAAGATTATGCTCCTCTATTTTTCTCTGATTATATCTTCCAACAGGTGCAGATTCATCAGCCTATGAGAGAATATATACCTCTTTCACTGAAAAATTAACTTGTTTGCTATTATATTTATTTTATAAAAGCAAGAAAAATTCCAGTAAGTGTTATAAGACAAAGTAAATATCAAAATGAGACACATCTATTTTAGGAAAATAAGTACAATTTAAAAGAAAAGTAGATAACTGGATTGGAATACAGACCAAATTAAAAAATTAAACTACACCACTTGTGTTTTGTTTATGTTTTGTTTTCTCATTAAGTATTACAGACTTTCTACAGTCAGTAAGGAAAGGTTAGCCTTGGAGTCAAAAAGATGAGTGACAATCCCAAGCACTGATACATATTGGCAGTGAGACACTGTGAAAGCTGCTTCACCTTTGTGAGTCTGTTTCCTCATCTGTGGAACAGGAATAATTAGGTTATAAACTTAGGGCTGAAGCTTACACTCATAGTCAGTGGAAAAAAAATTCTTGAGTGGATTGCCAACATTAAACGCTAGGTCTTCCTATTTCTGCGTAGTCACTGATATTAAAGCTGCTGTTTGGTATAGGAGACTTCCTTACCACTTATCCTCAGGGCCAGATTATGTACTCGCTCCCCATAATGAAATTAAAATGAAAACAATTCTAAATTGTAAAACATAAAGCTAACACAATGCTAAGATTAAAACAGCTTCTTCCTGGATTCTCTGATTTCTTAGTGCTGGATGAGTTCACTGAAGCTGGATTTTCTTTAGTATTTGAAGTCCTGGCTTTTCTGCTCCGAAGTACAAATTTAGTAAGCCTGTTGAGCAAGCCAGCATTGTCTCAGGTTAGACTTAATCACTAACATGAACCCAGGAGCTTATCAGCTCTGATTCACACTTAATGAAAATGTTTGTATAAAAACTGACTTTTTATATGATCAAATATAATACTTACTTTGCTTAATTTTTGAAGAGCATTTTTATTTTCATCTAATGCATGTTTTAATTGGATACATCTAAATTTAAAAAAGGAAAGAAAAAAATATTGTTTCATTATCAGAACCAGAAAGTTATTTTTAGAAACACATACATAAGGCAATTAGCTATTTTATGAATAATATTTTTTAAAAAATCACATGAAAATGCTTTTCTACCCATTAGCTCAGGTGATCCTGACAGCACAGCTCTCAGGACCACAGAAATGAAGCATTAAGACCCTGGCCTTCAGCTTCCTATCTCTAAAATAAGGAAGAGCACTGGACTTTAAAATGCTTCTCTGGCTCTAAAAGTTCATAAACATAGGACCTCATCAAGGAGACACAACTAATAATGATAATAACACCTAAAATTTACTGTGTGCCAAGCATAATGCTAAATATTACCTCATCTAAACCTCCTAACAACGCTCATCCCAGCTGAAGAAACTGAGATTCTAAAAAGCTAAGTGACTAACCCAAGGCCGTTTTTGCTAGTTCATGATAGAGTCACAATGTGAAAGCTGAGTTTAGGACTCTAGAGCTGACCTCCTTCCACCACAGCACAATCCCCTTCTGAACCCGACCTGCTCTTACAGGTACAGTGTTTTGCATTATTCCATAGACAGTTAAAGAGCTCATCTAATGTAATTTATGTCTTACCCACCCAAACGGTAAGTGCGAAAATTACAACCAAAAACGGGCTACAGCTAAAGATAATAGAGTTTTTAAAATCAAATGCTCTTTATCAAAAAATAACCTGCAAAAGTCACTATTTTTGATACTGTTTAATTTTTTGTTCCCAACATGAGTGAAATGAATTAAGCAGTAAGAAAGGAGACAAAAATCCTTTGTGAAAGGCACAGAAAGAGAAGTGAAAACTTCAAACTGTGGCTGACTCTGCCAGTTACCTACCTGAAGCTCTTCTCCCACTGTCTTCCTATATGTTAGCAGATTCCACCTCCCACTGATACTCTACTTTCTCAGCCTCCATGTGGGCAGGGTGGGTATGTGGCCCAGGGAGGGTATGTGGCCCAAGGATGGCCAACAAAACATAAGAGAAATATGTTGGAGATTTCCTACCCCCACCCCTATTTCATCCCTAGGAGCTCCGGGTGTAGTAGCTAAGGCATTTGACTACTAACCAAAAGGCTGGCAGTTCAAAAACCCACCAGCCACTCCTCAAAAGGAAGACTGGGCACTCTACTTCCGTAAAGATTTATCACCTCAGAAACCCAAAGATGGTCTCTATAAGTCGGAATTGACTCGATGGCAGTGAGTTTAGTTTGGTTTGGTTAGTGGAAAGAGGCATGAAAAGAATCTCCTTCCCCTTTCTGCTTTTAGTACTTGTTATGGATTGAATTGTGTCCCCCTGAAAGGTATACTGAAATCCTAGCACCTGTACCTGTGAATGTGACCTTGTTTCGGGAAATAGGTTTTTCTTTGTAGATGTTATCAGGTAAGTTAACCAAGTCACACTGTAGGGTGGGTCCTACTCCTACTCTCTCCTGAATCTCACTGCTGTCCAGTCAGACCCGACTCAGCATAGCGACTCCCCTTTGGGTTTCCGAGGTGATATCACTACAGAAGTAGATTGCCCAATCTTCCTCCCAAGGAGTGGCTGGTGGGTTTGAACCGCCAGCCTTCAGGTTAGCAGTCAAATGCCTCAGGCACTATGCTACCAGAGCTCCCATCTTATAAAAGAGTACAGACATGGAAATGGAGACACACAGGAGAAACATGCATATGAAGATATATCTATAAGCAGCAAAGGAATGTCAAGGATTGCTGGCAGATACTAAAAGATAGGAGAAAGGTATGGGGCAGTTCCTCTCTCAAAGTCCTCAGAAGGAATCAACAGGGCTGAGACCCTGATTTGGACCTTCTCCAACACTGTGAGAAAATAAATTTCTGTTCATGAAAGTCACCCACTTTGTAGTATTTTGTTATGATGCCTGAGGACACTATAACTATGAGGAGAGCATCATCAGCAAGCTGAGGACAGCACAGCAGAACAATAGCAACACAACTGCCAGGTCTGGGTCCTTGAAAACATCACCCACCCTGGAAGAATCTGCCTCCAGATTTTTTGTTACATGAGATTGGTAAAGCCCCTTGTTCTGACAGGTGTCCCCCTACTTGTGCCAAAATAATCCAAGCTGAAATTTATACTCAAAAATATCAATTAAGGGCCAAAGTGGAAAACTATTTTTATGTAATAAAAACCTATTGCCACTGAGTCAATTCCGACTCATAGTGACCCTATGGGACAGAGTAGAACTGCCCCATAGGGTTTCCAAGGCTGCAATCTTCATAGAAGCAGACTACCACATCTTTCTCCCACAGGGAAGTTGATGAGTTCGAATTGCCAATTTGTTGGTTAGCAGCCAAGTACTTACAAATGAAATATTTACTATAGTTATCTTATATTTTAAAATTGTCAAAATCCTCAAACTATTCAGATATTTTGAGACTTCTGTTTCAGGATAAAAACTAAGTACACAATCATCTTCACTGACTCCTGAAACCTACCAGACATAATTTAAAACATTTTAGAAAGTAATAAACTTTTAACACTGAAAGGAATGAAAGAGAGACCATCAGTCAACAAGAAATTTCAACAAACTGCTGCTGCATGGATAAAAGATGGATCCGTGTTCCTCTATAAAGAGAGGAAGTCATATAAGCATAAGAGGGAGATAATCTGCAAGGCATAAAACTCCAGGATTTGAGTCAGCAAGTATGAACGACAGAGGGCTAATTAAAGTCTGTTTATGGTGATGAATTATTAAGTTCTACAAATGAAAAGGCATGTACAAGGTTGAGATTTGCTTTATATAATTATATATTACACATCAGTAACATCTAAGCTGTTGTTGTTGTTGTTATGTGCTGTCAAGTCAGACCCGACTCATAGTGACCCCTCCTTGGGTTTCCCAGGCAGTATCACTACGAAGTAGATTGCCCCATCTTCCTTCTGAGGAGTGGCTGGTGGGTTTGAACCACCAACTTTCTGGTTAGCAGTCAAGTGCTTCTAGGCACTACACTCCCATGTAAGGTATGATGAGTAAAATCTGTCTGAAAACAATCTAAGGTCTTTATATTATTCAGGGGGAGAGCAAAGATACTGATTAAGTTTAGATTTAGTTATGGCCCTTTGCAATAAGCCTTGTGACTTTTTCATACAAGACTATTTATAGAAAATCTGTCAGTTGGCTTTATTTATAGAAAATCTGTCAGTTGGCTTCCTTTGTCATATCTCAACTCTCTCTTCCCTTCCTCCTAACCAGAGGACTCTGCTCTAAAAGAAATTAACAAATTACCTGGGGAGAATTACACTGCTAAAGAAGTTTCTTGCACATCAAAGTTTAAAGCCTACTGTATTCTGATATTGGGGGTTCCTTGCCTGCATACAAAGAACCTCATTCTCATTCAAGGGAAAGTACAAGTGGAAAGAGACCTATATTTACAACAACAGAAGAACCCAGGACAGCTTTCTAGAACAATCAACCTAGTTCCTCATTCTTAAATAAGAATGGATAGATAGAGAATGAATGGATCACTAGATACAATGAAGAAAACAAGAAACATGAAAGATTAAATTTAAGACTAACCAAAAAGTAAATAAATTTTTAAAAATCCAAGCCCAGAGGAAGCAAAGACAATTCAGAGAACAGCAAAGAACTTTAAAAAGAAAACAAAACAAAAACCCTCCTAAATCATGGAAGTCTAAGGAGATAATCTGCCTGAAAAACAGGAACACAATATTAAGAAAAGGAGCAATTATAAATTAATAGTATGGTTGCTGAAATAAAACATTCCATAGAAAAGTTAAAAAAAAAAAAAGTCAAAAGAATTTCCTAGATATAAACAAAAAGACAAAGAAACAAACACAATTAAAGGGAAGGTAAGAGATCTAGATCAATACAGAAAGTTCTGTGCTTGACTCAAAGGAGTTCTAGAAAGAAACATACTTAAGTAAAGAAATTGCTTTTTAGTAAAAGATAATTTCCCAGAGCTCATAAGGGATGTATGTGTGTGTTTCAAACTGACATACGCTGAGTACTGAGCAAGATAAAAACGACACCTAAATACATATGACGAAATTTCAAAATACCGAGTGTCTTAGCTTCTTAGTGCTGCTGTAACAGAAACTTATTTCCTCACAGTTCTGGAGCCTAGAAGTTCAAACCAGGTGGTATCCCTCCTTTTCTTAGTAGCAGCCCTGGGTGTTCCTTGGTGATCCTCACATGGCATCTGTCTGCCCCCATTTGTGCTTGCTTCTGTGTCTAATGTGCTCTTTTTATAACTTGGACGTGATTAGGTTTAGGACACATACTACACTGGTATGATCTTAACTGACTGACTACACTACATTAGGTTGCTTAACAGAAGGTGATTGTAATAATTAGATTAGATGACATCCACCAGTATAGGGGTTAGAATTGCAATACATATTTTAAGGGGACACAATTTAATCCATAGCACCAAAGCTGAAGAAAGAAGCCCAAAACAAGTCAAAGTCTGATTATTCAAAGGAATGATAATTAGACCTATAAGCAACACTGGACCCAAAGAAAACTTAGCAATGTCTTCAAAGGTTTAAAGAAAAATTATTAAAACTCTATATCTATCTCCCTTTCTTTATGTAAAAATGTAGTTAATCAATGCTCTTTTACACTTTACTTTTAAGCACTTTGAATGCCTGACTTAAGTAAAAAAATTTTCCAAAAAAAAAAAAAAAAGAGAAATGAAGTTCTGATATATGCTATATATAAGATATGTTGTTGTTATGTGCAGTCGAGTCAAACCCGACTCATAGCGACCCCTCCTTGGGTTTCCGAGGCAGTATCACTACGGAAGTAGGATTGCCCAACCTTCCTT